GCTGTCTCGTGTCCCCCCGAGCGAGGCCCTGTGAGTGGCTGTAATTCCTGCTTTTCTCAGGGTGTTGCAGCCCTTGGAGCGGAGATGGGCTCTCGTTGCCTCATTTCAGTATCTGCGATGAAGTTACACATGAACGGGCTGCATTTGCCTGCGGGTCCTGCCGTGTCACCGAGGCTGTGAAGCTGCAGAGACCCCGCAGCCCCAGCCCCGCTTCTTTGTTGTGGGGAGCAGTGACACTCAGCAGAACAAGCCCTGCTGTCACTTGGGTGTCACAGGTTAATTATGGGATGCCAGGGACGTATGCACACTGTCTCCCTAAGAACTGCACTGTCTTTGAGCATGCAGTAATAATCCAAATTTCATAATGTCCTGTTTGCAGTTATTTTCCACTTTAAAAACCAGGTTTCCTTGTGGTATGACCAAGCAGTACTGTGAATCAGAGAGAGGGAGCTGGCTGTCATTTGTGGTTCCTGCTTTGGCTGAGAGCAGGGATGCTGGGCTGGAAAGAAGGCCAGAGATACCTCAGAGTGGGTACACTAGTGGGAAGCGTGCTTTACATGGCCAGAGGGTATTTCTTCTGCCCCTTACACAGCTCAGATCCCTGCATTGTGGATCTCTTCCTGGTTCCTTGCATCTGGTGCATACCCTTAACCTGAATGACAATAATTGTAGGTTCACCACAGGATGTAGAACTACCTGTAGACTGCATTATTAAATACTCTTCCTATAAATAACCTGCACTTAAGAAGTGGAATTTTTTTTTTGTGTGAGGAACTCTCATTTGCTAATGTTCCAGTCTTCTCTAAACAGAAGTTACCTATGAGAAATGGTCTAGAAGGTCTTGTGAATCTAGCAGGCTATGGCTCTCAGTTGTTGCAACGTCTCTTCTTAAATTTCCTGGCAAGCGTGATACTTTTTACCTGTTTCAATAGCTGAGGGGTGCATGTGCCAAGTCCTATGAGAAGTTGTGTAACTCCTAATTACCCCCCAGTTGGCAGAGCAGATTAAGTTTCATTGGTAACTTGTTTCCAACATGCCTTATTATACTTTTTTGCTACTGCAAATGACAATAGCTTTTTGTGTTCTTTCCTTCGGCTTGCATGATTTTGGTTAAAAAAGAAAAAGTCACAAAATTCTTTCAGAATGAGTACTTTTTCAATCCAGACTCCGTGTGTGTTGTCTTGTCTGAGGGAGTGTGATAGCTAATGTTGCTCCCCCCGTCTTTCATCTCTGTATTCTGTTACTAACGGATGTTCAGGGAAAATTCTCTATTGATTTGTTCTGATCTTTCATTAATACCAGTGCTGGAGCACTGTGCTTTTTGATTTAAAATCTGTCTCTAAGATACATCTATTAGTAATTGTTTGTTTTACTGCAGAAGCCCTGTTGATAGTTGAAAGATGGCTTGAAGTGTGTGTAGCACAGATGGTTTATATAGAGCCAGTGTGGGATAACAAAATACAGGAAGCCATTAACAGAGGCTTGGTTTCTTATTTGATGTAAATCGACTATTTTGTCATTTTGGATGCTACATCTTATGTCCCTAGTGTCTGAATAGTTTGTTTATTGGTGGGTGATGCTGTCCCTGATTTGAACTTTCCTAGTTTATAATAAACCACACAAATAAACCCTTGTATCTGAAGAAGTGTGTAAATGAAGCCCCTCTAAGAAATAAGGGCTGAAGTGCTTTCGTGGGGTGTTAAAGACTGCATTTTACTTTGTTAAATTATAGTTAGAAGAAAGTAGGTTGTCATTAACTGAATGCTTTTTAGGTTTGTTTCTCATCCCACCTCAATGCAGTATCTTCAAAAGATGTACATCTGTACAATCCTTAATTCCAGACTACTGTTTGGAGAACTAGCTTTGCACATGGTAGACTTGTTCTAAAGCTGAAATACAAAGGCAGCCATAAATAAATTTTCTGTTCTTTTGTCAGCAGTTTGTATTAAGATTTTATAATGCTGTTTAGTGTTGTGAGAGTTGTTTTAAACTTGCA